ACACACACATGATTAATGTAATGCATAATATTTATGGACGTATATCGGCCATGACCATTATAGCAGGTAAGAAAAATAACATGATCGAGTTGGGTCCCCATGACGGGACGCAAGTTACCTGTTGAATTTACTACCTGAAAAATACACGTTTTTGGGAGACACAAGTAGTATGTAGCCAGTTTTTGAACGGGCAACAGTCGACGAACTATAAACGAGCAATCGACGTGGGTTACGATTGGATTAGCATATGTTTATATTCATGTTTATACAACAGCGTTGTACGAGGCGATGGAATCGTTGTACCGCGAACGAAGGCGCCAGCGGAAGGTTTTGGGAGAGGAAAAATTTTAGAAATTTTCCGGCCCGCCCGCCAAAACCGTATGGCCCAACGAACACGGGACGTTGGATGGCGCGAAAAAAAAATAGAAAATAAAAGAATATACTCGTATATCGGAGCGATCGTCCCGGGGACATCACGAGAAATGCACTCGCGCACGCGCAGCGGTTTCAGTCGCAGCGCGTCCAAACGGAATATCACGTACGGTACAATCAACACCGTTTGTCGCCTCCCGGACAAATCGAGTGGAACGAATCGTGTTTTTTAACCTCATTTGTACGTTAAATATTCGTGGTCGGTTTTTTTTTCCACACACCATCCTCGCTTCTCCCGGTACTTATGTATAATGTATACCTGTGTTCTACCTACCTGTTCGTGTGCACGTATTGTGTCTCTGCGGCACGTATGTGTACGTCGTATGCTAGTTGGACGACAATGCGGCGGAAAAGACCCTTTTCGGTGGGCCGCCGAGGAATTTAACGGGCGCAGCTTCGCGTCGCATTTCTCGGACTTACTCAAGACACGACGATAACATCATGCGCGCCCGTTCACCGTTTCGACGGAGATTATTGTTACGCGGCGGAGACGGCGCGCGTCGCGAGGGACCCTCGAAGAATGCGTTATCCCCGATCACGATAAATAGACGCCGCGCACGATGGTTCGTTGTAAACCAGAAAAAATGCGTTCGTTTTCCCGTAGGTTTTTGAAATGACCGATAGCGCCTCGGTGTGCTCAACAGGAATCTCAAGTGTTTTCGTAAGCTAAGTGGATTATTAGCCGTCTCGGCGCAGCTCCGCGGTTTTTGCCATGCAACTGTTTACGTTTCGCGATCGATATTGTATTGTATTATATTATTTTATTTTTTTTATCGTATTGTTTGTTCTGTGATCGACTTGGCTCGTTTGTCCGACGCGCTGTCTTTTGAACCGTTCGATCTGAGTAATACTATTACCGCGATACGGTGCGGTACAATGTTTCGCGTGCAGCCGTGAAATGATATATAAATATTATATAACATTTATCATTTCCCTTAAATTAAATTTAATCTATTCTGTGCTTGTACTCTGATTAATAAATGCTATTGTCACTACAATGGGGGTGGTCTCCGTAATGCACCATAAATCTTCAACCGCACGCGCGTCGCACGTCGCTCGTTTTTCAATACATTTTTTAACGTTTGTTCGTTACGAACTCCTTTTTTTTATTATAATACAATAAGTTCTAATATCTCAATGATTGTTGTTCGAACAGTGTCCGTTATGGCTGTACAACACGCACATACGTACGCCGCCGTGTGCAAAAATCGTAACGAAAACAACGTTTTCTTATCATTTTAAACGGCGTACTCAAAGATACATCTTTCCGAGTCCGTCGTGTGACGCAGGCGCGTAGCTAGAGCTAAGAGGGGTGTTATTCAAAACTAACCGACACAATTATACATAACAAAATAATAATTTCTTACGTACACTTTATTGTCCACGCATACAAACACATTAGCACATTACATATGAATATTAATAAATAAATATACGTATATCTATTCATGTGTAACGTACTAATGAACGAGAAAGTGTTTAAATATAAAATACATTTTTGTCCGTTATGTGTATTTGAAATCGTGCATAAAACGACTCGGAACCGCGGTCTTAGTTGATCAGACAAAACAACGGTGTATTGAAAATCCGGATCCCGGTCTTACATTATTGCTATCGTATATATTTCGTTACGATAAATACGTGTTCATCACGGTTTATGATGAATTTTTACCTTTACAAGACTTAATTTTAACACGATTGATGATAGGGGGGTTGTTACTACACCTGTAACACACCCACTGGCTACGCACCCGGTGTGACCCCAAACGTAAAATTGTAGAGGTAGAGGGTTTGTAATTATTAACAATTATTGGATATTTTTAACTTCGTTAAATACTGATATTAGGTTAAAACTCAATAAGTATGATTGTATATTAATTATTAGGAAAAAAATCCCCGAGAAGAATATTTGATTATCGGTCTATGATAAAGCGTTATTTTAACATTTTCCCCGGGCGTAAAAATTTCTAGTTCTACCTCTGGGTTTGATCGTGGGTATTACCGTACAGATCTGGAGACCCACGGCAAAGAAAAAGTGTATGAACGTTTCGCGAACTCGCCTAGTCCGCCGTAGCCATATGACGTGTACGCGGCACGTATCCTAGGGTTAGGGGTGAGCGGGAGCCGAACGGTACGAAGCCGCAAACTGGAGGCCCATATATTGTTTATTTTTGTGCGTCGCGTTTACGAACACGGCCGCTCGAATCGGTCGTCGCGTTCAATTTCCGCAAGACGAGCGAAATCATTGTCGTTTAAACGTTCGCACGACCTCGCGTTCAAGTCTTGACCCGACATTGCATCTCTCGCATTGCAAACACACGACCTCCTGTTGAGAACCACTGCCCTGTAGGGCGGCGTTTCCTAAACGCTTTCTCCGCCGGACCCCTTAGAGATAACGAAAATGATCGCGGATCCCTTAATACAAATGAAAAACAATGATAAATCGTTACATTTTTATGTTCGCGGACCCCCTCCGGTATAAGTGCGGACCACAGTTTGGGAAACGCTGCTGTAAGGTACGACCGCGAGATGTCGCATTGCTTACATCAGACCCGGTCCAACAAGCGTACTACACAAACATATCATACGCGACGGTGACTTGCTACGTTACTTGTAAACAGTGCTTGATTTGGCATAATTAAAGAAGGGGGGACTCTGTTTGTTTAAAAAAAAATTGTGTTCCCAAAACTTGTTAAGCGTAATAATTATAACGTATTGATAGTAGGGGCACGCTAAAATTTCAAGAAAATTAGAAGGGGTACTCCGTTCCCCTGCGTCCCTCCTCAAGCCGAGCACTGCTTGTAAGTACACCCGACGTCGACCCCGACCGCAGTTAGCCTACCGGTGTGCCGTGTACGCACTGCGTTGCACTCACGAAATGATGCTGAGCGTTCGGAAACGTTCATAAATATGTATACCGCGAGTGTTCGGGAAAACATTGGTTTTTGTTCTTGCACCGCCCACATTACGGTTGAACGGTGTATAGGTCACACGATGAGTGGATGTGACACACGCACGCGCGCGTGGTACACACCGTACCGCGTTGTAACGGTCATCTTAATAATAGTAGTAAAAATAATAATAACGAAGGTGATTTTTTTCGGGTGTATCCGATCGGTCGCACATACCTGTTTACAATGGCATGCTGTAAGGAACACCTTACGCGCGCGTCAACCCGTCCAAGCGCAGCGGTGTTCACTATACATATAATAAATATACGTAAAAAAAAAAATTATGTATTACACGCTCAATAGTAATGATATTAATATGTATATTATGCAGTTGACGCCGCTTGTAAGGCCGTTTATCGGACTCGGAATCGCTCGGAACAGTCCGGACTTATCCAAATACGTTAAAAACAATTCGGTTATAAGGAAGATGGTAAACTGCGGCAAAAAAAAAAAAAAAATAAGATTATACAATCTGCGACAAATCCGATAAGATACACATGATACAAACTGCGGCAATTTATTATATATACTATTTAAATATATTTTTTGTTTGATGTTATTATTTACTGCTTGACGTTCAATTGTAGAATCCGATTCATGACTATGATCTAAAACTGATTTTTCTTGTAATAAAGTTTTTTCCTTGTGAAAACTAATTTTGCCTTGCATGTTTTTTTTAGTGCATTCCCATGTTTGATGATTACCATTTATTTTGGATTCATATTTAAATTCGAATTTAAAATTATTTAACACTGATAATTCCTTGCCATTCTGACTAAACATTGTTGTAAATTCCATGACGTTGAATGAATACTTAACTCTATTTCTACTAACCTCTAACACTTGTAAGTAGGTAATAACTAGTATTTTCAAAAGTAAAGGAACCGATATTACTCATATATTTCGTTAAAACTTAAAAATATATTTGGATTTACTTTACCACTTTGTACGCAATACGCAACATTTCATAATTAATTAAATGATATACGTATATAGGTACACACAAGTAGGTATATATGATGTAGGTATTATAATAAATAGTATATATATAAAATAAATTACCGCAGTTTGTATAATGTATCTTATCGGAATAATTTTCTCAATCTTAGGGATTTTTTTTTTCAAAATATAACTTGCATTTTTTAATCTAATAGATAACACGAAGCGCATTTAATGTTAATCGAAAAAAGATCGAGTACAAATTTGTACAAAACGTACAAATCGGAAACCGAAACGCTATATTATAATAAAATTAATTATATATAAGCGCAACTATCCATTAGACATCTGAAATTAAAATTTTAATTAATAATTTACAGCTTTCGTTCGACAAGATTTTAATACATCTTGAATTTGTGGGAATAATATTTCAATTCAAAGTATACTACGTTTATATTGGGATTAAAAAAATAAATAAAAATAATTACGATAAGAACGGTAAAAGGATATAATAATATATGGCAAAAATATTAATTCGACTTGGAAGTGTTTAAAATTTTAATTATCATACCGTTCATGTTTATGTTCATGAATCAGTACGTTTTTCGTGTTAAATACATTCGGCGCGTTGTAAATAATACGTGATATGCGCTCGACACTCGTTTAAAATGTTCATCGATCATTTTAAACGTAATACATTCGATTAACTTATAATCGTACAAAAATTTTGGATTTTAAAGCCGGTCGTACAGATGCGTGAGCCGGCTTTCGGCGACCACTGTTTAGACGGCGGATACCGTTTGATGATGGAGTTCATGTTCGTGTACGAGAATCCAAGGCAGTTTTTATATGCCTTACATCGACGCCGAGAGATTGTCACTTCGTATGTACGAGTGCTCAGGCGTGTACGTAATTTTGATTAATTTCATTTCGTGTAAATGTCAAGGTGCTTCGTGCTACAATGTCACTGATGAAATATCATGTTTTTAATATTTTTATTGAAACAAATATTAATTACTTACCGGAGGAATAAAACACACGTTTCACGGAAGCAACGTTGCATACACGTAGTTGAAATGTCCTCGTGTCCCATACGAACATTTCCCCCGCGTACCATCTTGTCGATCATATAATAATCGTTGTAATTCCAAAATCCTAAAACAATTCAAAAGTTATAAACTAAAAACGTGTCCGATGAACGAAATAACAATGCCACGCTCACCGATGTTTTGGCTCTACACAACTGCACAGAACCTAATGTACGCGTATATAATCGTGATGTTTAAAACCAACTGTTTGTTGTTATTATTATATAGGTTACGCCATTTTAGTGGAAACGAGCTGACATAATATCTCGTGCGCTACAATACTTTCGTCTCGTGTTATTACGCGTAAGTACAGATCCATTCTACCTCGGCGGTACGTTACCTCACGTCCACCCTACAGAATTACGTTTAAAAACACGTACTCGGTTGCGACCTGATCCAGGCGCCACGTACCAAACAAAATACGTATTCAGGGGTGCCATTTAAGTTTTTTTTAAGGATGTTCAAGCAATTAAAGACGTCAATTTTTTCCCACAACCAGGCCAACATTTATGATTAGCAGTGATTACTGATTAGCCACGGTGCATGCACAACATTAAAGATTGGAAAACTGAAGGCCAAAGTGACAAGGCCATGTATCAGTGACGCCTAGGCCAATAATTGAAGATGAAAAAAATTCAGGGTGTGCGAGTGTGAGAGTTTTTAAGAATTTCTCATGTTATCCCGATGTACAGCTATTATTTCCGTTTGAAACACAACCGAATTAGTACGTTTTTCGTGTTAAAGTCATTCGGCACGTTGTAAATAATACGTGATATGCGCTCGACGCTCGTTTAAAATGTTAGACGATCATTTTAAATGTAATACATTCGATTAACTTATAATCGTACAAAAATTTTGGATTGTAAAGCCGGTCGTACAGACGCGTGAGCCGGCTTTCGGCGACCACTGTATTAGATGGCGGATACCGGTCGATGATGGAGTTTTGCCCGATACGCGTGTGATTGAAATTATGCATCGTAAAAGTAATTAATGCGCTTAATCACACAACAACGGGCGTAAAGATCGATGTTAGAACGTTGGTTTCACTGAAAAAAAAAAAAAATAAAAAACATACATATATAAAAATTAATTACGCACAATTAAGATTGATTCGTGTAACCACGACACTATGTCCACATAATGTATTACATGCGTTATAGTTTGTGAGAGTGAACAGCGCCACGAAATGATGTAGAAACGAAGACGACGTGGGAATGATTATATTAACATACCGACGGTAATTATTTATCAAGTTTTAAGTGGATCAAGTGTTTTGTGATGAGATCGTGTTTTCGTTGCAGTGTATTCCGACACGGTAACGTTGTATACCATTACGGAAAAGATTGATGGCATTTTTTCGGATCGTAGTAAGGGCCTGGGAACCGCACTCGAACCAGTGTCACCCTCCCGATCTGGTCCCTGCACGGCGTATATTATGCAGGTATCATCTCCATATATACACGTACAGCTCGTGATGAAATTAAAACGTTCTCAGCCTGTCAGGAGCGTATCCAGAAACGTTTTACGGAAAGGGCGCAGTAACACACTTGTCACGACACAATGCATATAAAATTATATTATTATATTTTTTGCAGTTTTATAAACTCCTGTTAGTAGATGTAATGAACTTGTGAAAAATAATCGAAAGTCCAATATATTATTTTGTACATAATACAAACCTATTTTTAGATTTTTGGGGGGGGGGCGTGAGCTCAGGTCAGTTCCCAAAAAAATTAAAAATAGATTAAGATGATCTCTGGGTAAAGAAATGTTGAATGCCCTAGGAAACTTATCCATTAAAAATGACACAACACTATAAGCAATAATTTTGATGAAGTTATCGATGCATTTGCAGAAAAAAAGACTAGAAATTTTTTTTTTTAATTTAGAAATTTTTTTAATATCTATATTCGAATACCTAATGTTTAATTTACTTTTAAGAAAACAAGTTTTTTTTTAAATTATGAAGATTTCGTATAAAAAGAACCTACATTCTAATATTTATAAAATAATTTTGTACGAAATGCTGAGACGACGGGACTTCTCGGAGTTACGAGGCCCGGGGCTCTAACCCTATCCTCTCGCCTGCCCCGGTCACACGTTCTAGCTCCGCGGACCGGATCGTAACAATAAACAGAGTTCTGTTTTCGCAAGCACGCGCAATATTCTCGGCCCGCACGTTAGGAGTACGCTCAGCAACATTGTGGTAATGTTTTTGGTGTTTGCGCGTCTACGTATATACGGCGGGTTCGTTTTCGCGACTAATGTGTGTGCCCTCGAGGGCGCACCGGACAAGGGGTGATTTCGTTCGAAGCTTACAACAATTGTTTAGCTCGTGCGATCCAAGTCCGTGTACGCCAAGAGCTGTGTGTTACAAGTTTGCGTCACACGGTGAAACGCCGGCACGTGTACACGTACACGACCACCAGTCGCAATGCACTCGAAACGTCAACCCTTTGGACGACCCGAAAGAGATTTCGCCGCTCCAACTGTCCAACCCGCACGTCGTCACATTCACGATCTGTTTGTGGGTCGCGGCGGGGGCACTCTTGAGTCACGTCGTCGACTTGTGTACCGTACGGGTCGCCGTCCGAGTTTGGGTCCGTCACGGATTTTTCGTTACAACCGAATCGTGCGTAGACGAGGTTCGCGCGACGTTAGATTGACCTGATCAGGCGAATAACGTGAAATACGTCGCGGTGTGACTTGACTTGGGGCACGGTTCCAACGCGAGACGGACGACGACCGTCTTCTTGTCGAACACAATGGATTAACCGTTATCGTTGCACGTCTACCGGATTCGAGGGCGAACGATCACCAAAGGCGACGTTTGATCGCGACGAAATTATGTCCGGACAGTAAATCCCGCGTTGCCGGTACAGTTGAACCGTTCCACGGGCGGTTTGTAATTGAAAAAAGAAAAACAGCACCGAGAACAAAACGTTCCGCGGCGAAAATGTAGTCCGTCACCGGAGGCTCCGACCGTCTGGTTGAAAACGCGCGAAACGCTTAAGGATCGAGAAAAAAAATAGCGCGTCCTGTTCCGCGAAACGTTTTGCACACATGTAGGTTAGGTTGAGGTTACGCTGGTTTTTACACGTATATGCCCTCGATCCCACCCGTTTTCGTTTTTCGACTTTTTCCAACGCCAATTATTTAATAAGTTAAAAAAGTCAATTTTAGACTGCGGATGGGCAACAAGGAGACACGTGTGCCCAGCCCCATCCGTAGTTTTTCGATTTTTGCAGAGGGGGGGCAGAAGTTGAGCAGGAAATCCGGAAGAGGTGGCAGGAATCGAGCACTAAACATTCGGCGTCGGAGAAAGTTGAAAAATTAAAACGGTTGGGGCTGGGGACACGTACGTCGTACACCCGATCGCGGGTCGTACCGTTTGGTCTCGCGAAGTCGACGAAATATTCACGCAGGTCCGACCGGGGCCCGACGGGTACAACGTGATCATGCCGATCGTAGACGTTATGTGTTGTATGCGCACAAAGATACATAACAATACGGTACATAATGTGCGCGCATAAACAATAAACGCATTTTACGAGCCGCGCGTTCGTAGCGCTTGCGCAAGCGGTCCGACTTTGTTCGGCTATTGTCTTGGTGCGATGTATTTTTCGTGTTGCGATAAAACGACCGACCGCTGCGACCTGCGCGCGTAATGCGTATTGTTACGTTGTATCAACGCGATCGTAATAGTAGTCATAATTATTATAACGTGTTTTGGCGGACGATAATTCGAAATCTCCGATTCTACACCCTCCGTGTACTATGCGCCGGACCTAATGGTCAAGTCGTATAACTACGTATATACTAATCGGAGGAGGCTCTTCGGAAACTGTTTCGACTGTTTTACAGTTCGTGTTGAAACGGAATAATAATAAACACGAATTAGCGGTGCACGAAGACTCGCTAACCTAACTTGGTAAACTTAGAAAAAAAAAATGCCTTTTCACCGGTTAAAAATTCGATACGATGATATTTTTTTCAACCTTTAATTTTACTAATTATTTTTAAGAACACAATTTACAATAACTACGAAGAATAATTATAAATATCAGTCGCGCAACTAGTGGTGGGGTTTGGGTGTTGTAACCCCCCTCGAAAGTTTTCTGAGATTTTTACAAATTCTACGTAGGAAAAAAAATGGTTTATCTTAAACACGCGTAGCGGCTGATTCATATGAAATATGAATATTATTCGTAATATAATAGATAACAATTGTTTGTGCCTGAACCGTTCCTACGAGTATGGTGGTCGGCGGCTCTGACTCGCATAATATAGGACCAGGTAATAATTATCACTGTACAAATTATATATAAATTAACAAAAACCAAATATATGATAATGCACCCGAGTTCGGGTACGTAATAATATTACAATAAATAATTAATCGTATTAGAACAAAATAAAATGTAATAATAATGCGGGCGCCATTGTTAAATAAATAATAATAATATTCACAATAACGCCTTATGGGTGTAAAACATACAAACGATATATAATCTTAATCAGAATACAAACATAATTAATAAATACAATAAAAAAGACAAAAGATATCACCAGCCACAGGATGGTCAACTTGACGTCTGCGGGCAATGGCGCAACACTACACAGCTACACCACGATGACAATGACGATCCGTCCCTGGAAAATATGGCCGACAATCGGCGAAAAACTCGAACGATACACAAATCCCGCGTGACGACCAACGCGAGAAGATTACGCGGAGCGTGTATCGCTAGCGAGTGCACGTAAAAGACAAAGACCGCAAAGGCCGAGTCGCAGACCGGTCATCAGTACAGCTCCGAGATGTAGAGGGGGGGGAGTGCCATGAAAATTCTCGAAAGTTCGAGACGTTCATGGCACAATGAACGACATGTTATGGCGCGAAAATTCAAACCATTGTGGTGTTTGAACAACAATAATAACATGACGTTTTGTAACGTTCCGATCAACTTTAAAACATCAATAACCTTGCTGTTACGATTTCTCTATAGTCGATTGTATAATACTTTTTTTTGTGGTATCACAATATGAAATAGAAGTTAAACAGTTTAATCTGTAATTTAAATATTTTAACCTAACTCAATCTTACATCCTTAATCCCACCAAACACCTGCTTATTTTTTTCAAATTCACAACCCCTCCCGAAAACCAATACTTGTTGCGCCACTGACAAATATCCATCGTTAATATTTCAGTATAAATTTTAAACATAAACAATTTGCTTTTCTCGCTCTTTGACTAGCGAATTCATCGATAAATTCTTCATAGGTATTACATTTTCTATGTGAATTCCCTTGTGCTGATTTTCATAAGTTCAACATTAAATTCACACGTATTGTGTACGATTAAACAAAATTTATACATTTCAAAAAGTTTAATGGCAAAATTTCGTTTTGAAGGCTGTATAAAATACGATATTCGCACAAGTTTGCGACCCTGACGTAGGTACAGTTCGCCATCCCCTTTGCTACACCATCGAGTGAAAAATAAATATCACAGTCCAATTTGTTAAACCATGTTAATCGGTGTATTTGAAAGTAAAATGGTTTTGTATAATGTATTATATAATGCCAGTGGTTTTTAACCTGAGGGTCATGAATAAAATAGGTTTGTGGGTCATAAAAAATAATGAATAAAGTGAATTGTTTATTTTGTCAAATTTTCAAGTGAAAATTAATCAAAATTGTATACCATATAAATATTTTACCGGTTATTAAATTACATTTCGATCAATAACATAACATTTTTTTTTTGACGGGGTCGCATTACAAAAGAATAAAAAATGCGGGGTCGTGATCTAAAAATTGTTGAACAACCATTGTCTTATGCCACTAACAAAATCTAAGACCTACATCTAGGGTCCCGATTCACCAGACCCCTTGCACCAGGGCTGGATTCGTGCCTATCCTGCAGTCCGTCCGAATAGTTTTCTTTACGTGTAATTATTATTATTATTAGAATACGTGTGTGATGAAAAGGTGTCACGAAAGAGTGTTTAATTTACACTTGTACATTGAGCACCGATTTCTAATCGATGTACAGTTTCAATACTGAATCGGTTTACGCCAAAACGCGTCGAGGCAACGTTTTAAGAGAATAAATTATACATATAATATATATAAGACACTTTTACCCGTATAATAACGATAAGTTATTAAAACTTTTACAAAACGCCCAAGCGTGCTATTTGTATACTATTTATATATATTGCGATACAGAGAACGACGTAATGTCAGATATATAGCGAAATTGTTTCCAATAGGATTTAAAACAGTTAAATGGCTGTACAATGAAATCTCTTTCTAGCAGCAGACATCGTAGCGAATGCAGAATACGTCCGCTGTTCAGGGGTGTTGATTATCGTATTATTGTTGCGTCTAAATGTCTAAAAGTTTGTGTTGAATTTTCCAATTGGTCAATGAAATAGTGATCACTAGGTTCAGGATACTTATGATCTTTAAAACACATGTCCTTAAAAAGAAAAAAATCAAATATGACTGTTTAAAATGTTTATTATTAATTTTGTTTTTACTCAAAAGATACAATTGTACATTAAAATGCGTATATTTACCATCACTGTTTTGCTTTGTAATACCCTTAAATGTTTTTCACGTACATTATGTTATTATAATGTAATTTTATTCTCAGTTACAATTTTTACTCCAAATATTTTACAAAATATCACT